GAGATTATGCGTGTAAGTGCTGCTGGTGTGCCTAAAGCTGCAAATGTTCTGGTCTATACAAAGGAAACATTAATCAAGACATCTTACAGAGAATTAGAGGAGGAAATAGTTTTGTCTCCTGATTAGTACCTGATTTTCACTGCCCAGTGCAGGAAAAGGCAGGCAGAGAAGCAGAAGGCGATAGAAAGAGGTTATTGTTCTGTTCTCAGACAGAGCAAGAGCAGATTGCTGGGGGTGGCTGTGGTAGGCAACTTCCACGAAAGCAGCACAAGAGAGGCAGCTTTAAGGACGCTGCAGGGCACGTGAGCTTTGAGTTGGGTTGTAGGGATGAACTAGCCGCACTCTCGAGCTTGCTGGAGCAACTGAGAGAAATCCTTTCTGTTTCATATGATCTTAATAAAGCCATGTGGAGCTTTAGCTTTCTGTAACTTGGTTCCTTTGTTGCAGATGGGTCTCTTCAGCAACCCATATTATTTGATTTTCCAGCCTGGACCAATCATCAAGCTGAGTGATATCACACACAGCAGAGGGTATGGCAATCCTTAAAATCGAAGCACTCCTGCAGTACCAGTATTTAGTGTGTTCATCTGGATCGCATGAAGGATTGAAAGAGCGTGGCTCCATCAGGCTGCTGGGGCAGGTTTGGGATCCAGCAGAACAAGACACAGTCTACAAGGAACATACTGGGGACCACCACTGATGAGGAAAGGTCCCCTTGCTGTGACCACAGAGAAACAGCCAACCCAAATAATTCTGGGGAGTAGCTGACACTTGTTGTGAAGCTTCATTGCTTCAGGTTCCAGCTAAGAGCGTGACAGCCCAAAATATTCAGTGTCAGGTGTCATATGTGTGTTTAGCCATCTCCCTAACCAAAAACCATGGATTACGTAGAGGAAAAAAATGCCTGTGCAAGCACTTTTCACTGTATCAGGTTTTATTTAACAGTTAGTAGGGGGTTCATTGTCCAGTTACCCGTCTGATAAATAGGTATTTTAGGCATAGCTTTCAGAAACAGATTTCACAGACTTTCTGAATTGATTGTAGTTCTTCAGCTGTTGTTAATCACCAGTCACCGCTGAACTAATAATTTACCCTTCTTGAAGATCTGTGCTGCGGTTTCTCCTTGTGAATACTGACGACTGTAATCGCTAGAAATGTGTCTGCTAACAATTTGCCTTCTCTTTTCATTAATGAAATTTTTACCTCCTCAGGGTTAATTGAATCAAGAAATGTCAGTATCTTTAGATTTAATATTCCTTATTGATGCAGATTCTGGAGTGAATGACTGCTGTGAATAAAAAAATATGGTTTAGTTTGATTCTGGAAAATATTTAGTGACCAGAAAAACAGAAGGTTGTTTGAAACAAGCTTTGAATAAATTAAGAGGCCCCCCTAACTAGCACAGCCCTCTTGACTATACAAAACCCCTAATTAACTATTTATAGAGATGTGCATATTTGCAGTCTATTTTAAAATGCTGGAAATGAGAGTAAGCAAACCAACCTACCCACCAGTTTACAGAGGCTAGGGGCAGCATAATGTCTGCACAGTGTTTAGCTGTGTGGTAATTATATATGAGGAACTCAGAAAATTTAAAGATGGAGCCAGGAAAATTCCATCCCCAAAAGCCTCAAGCCCAATGCTGAAAGCTGCCACTATCTTCCTGGCAAGCACAAAAGGCCCAAAATGCAGAGCAGCTGCGTGAAAGGCATCTCTGCACCAACACTGATCATCTGTAAATGTATTAGTTGCTGCCTTCACCCAAAATGGGTCCGGTGCCAGAAGAGGAGAGCACTGGCAGCTCCCATTTGCTTTGATGACAGCCATGAGGTTTACTGATAAAATAACTTTTATTCTTGCCCCGCTGCTTTTTTATTTGCTGTTCCCAAAGCTGCCTTGGAATGAAAGTCCCATTAGGCAGTTGCACCCCTTTAATTTCAGCACTGTCATTGTCCTGGGTTTCATGGGGTTTGACGCAGACTTTTCATCTGCTGTATTTTTCATTTTTAAAAGATAAAATGGTCTCACAGACAGGGTTAGCAAGAAGTTTATTTCTAGCTGCTGAATTATTTATTCCTATTTAAGCTCCAGCGAGCAGCCCACATTTAATAGCCCATTACTGCTTAGAGACCTGTCAACGCAAAAGGGGCAATCCTGAAAAATACTGTGTTTAGTGGCTCTGTCAATACTCTCTGTATTACCTTTTCTTCATTTTTATGATCAAGAGTACAGACTAGAAGGCCAGAAATGACCCGAGCTGCAAATTTCAGCGCGCTTTAATCTACCAAAACTAACAACCAAATAAATTCGTGCAAGAGCTAGAGTGAAGGTTTTTCACAATGAGGTTAGCTTCCTAAGAGAGCTTATGGATTCTGTATCAGTTGGCATCTTCAAATCAAGACGTGATGTCTTTCTAGGACAGTTCTCCATCTCATCAGCCAGATTTGGAGGGAATGCAGGAGCAGTGGGTGAAATATGTTGCCTTGTGTTACATAAGTGATTTGTTAACATAATGGCAATTTTTGGCCTTCTGCAGTTTTGGCCCAATTTTGATTTTTACCTTCTCTCTGTTTCCCGAGCCCCCGCAGAACTGGTTTCTGTGAAGCATCTGCCGTACCCTGAAGCAACCTCCAAAATACTGATTTAGTAGTAGATTTGGGTTTCAGAACAACAGTGTTGTCTTCAAATTAGCCATGAAAGATTTGAGGCTCACAAGAGCTCATGTCTAGAGGTGTATCTTCTATGGTTGCTTGTTTCTTATCAGATACTTCATCACCAGTGAATTTTTGTATGTTTCCTAGATAATCACGCATTGGTGGTATAAAAGTAGATTTAGTACAAGGCTATATTCTTGGAACCCTTCACACCCTCCTATCCTACGCAGGTGATTCTGGGCAGAGGCTGGATTATTTAAGTATCTAAAGAGCCCTGCTGTGAAAAACACTGAACACACCTCCCACCTTCCAGTTACATCCCTTTGGAGAATTGTCCCTGGCATCTACTGTTCAGATGCCCTACAGCTCTCGTGAGCTGTACGTAAATTGAAGCCAGCTTGGGCAGGCAGACCCTTATGGCCAGATATAACAGGTAGCTCTCTGAGCAAGTGAGAGCTAATGAAGCCTCATTTTCGTACGGATTTGTGGTTTATATTGGATTCGCTGATGTTTGGTAATAGCTTCGTTCATAGTACTGCACTTCTTTCAGAGGACAACAATACAGTTCTCCTCCTTTCTTTAGCCATTGAATTTCACATAGCTTTTAAGAAGCTAATATTTTAAAGTTTTTTAACGCCTGTCAGATTTCCTTGAGTTTTGCCAATGATACGGAAGGCATTGGGAGGGAGGGAGGTTAAAACGGGATAGATACTGATGCAGACACACAGAGAGATATCTTTTGGAAACAAAGCCAAATATTTCAGGTGTATTACAGAATCTTAAAAGGGTGAACAACATTTTCTCCCACCAAGGAAAAAGAGTGTCTGATGTATTAAAAAAATCCCAAATACAAAAAAGTCCTTTTCTGTGATTTTGTGCTTCGCTCTGCACTGCATAACAAGGTAGAATCTTGTAGGATGACTGTCTGTCTCAGCCTTTCTCTGAAAAAATGTCATGGTAATCTAAGATGGTGCAATCTCAGGGAAGGAACTGCCAGCCAACGATTCTTCTCTTTTGCCCAAAATAAAGCAGAAGTAAGTTGAACTGTGCACACACCGTATAGCGCACTGAACGAGAGGCTCTGCGGCTGTCAGCTTCTAGTTGGAGTGAAGCCCATGACAACGTGGATGGCATAAGAGCCTGTCTGGATGAGGGTCAAATGTAGGAAGGATCTGTGCCCGTGAGCTGGAGCAAGACAGTGTTAGATGATCTTTGAAAAACAGGCCCGGGGTGTTGGTGACACGGTGTGTTGCACGGTTGCGTGTGTGTGGCTGACAGACACATCACCGCTGCTGCTTCTCGGGGAGCTTCAGTCACTGGAGGTCTTCTGCCAAAAAAGACCCATTTAAGAGGAACTTACTCAAATTGATCTTTGTGGTCAAAAAGAGATGAGCTGCTGCCACAAGTTTGTATGAAGATATGTAAGAGAAGAACCAGAGCAAATTACAGACTTAAGAGAAGTCTTTTTCCTTTGTTGTTGCCCAGCGGCTGTTCCCAGTTGAACAAAGCATCCAGATTTCTTACCGTCAAGCCCGTGGCTTAAATAAGTGTGGGAATGAGAGAGCATCAGCACAATAATTCTGTCAATTATTGTGTGGTTGAACAGTGTGAAATAATAGGTAAGGGAAACGTTACAGCATTGGTTTCTCTGCATAGTGAATACAGCAGCAGTTGAAAGAAACTGTGTTCTGGCATGTCTGACCCAGCATACAGCCTGCTCTTGCTCCGGTGTCTGGAGGGTTTTTGAACTGACATCAATGTGAGCTGGCTGGCAGTTCTCCACTGATGTGGCTCATGGTACTGCTGAGACAAAATGATGCTGAATGAAACCTTTTTGTTACCCTGACAAGAGTCTCCACCATGAGAGCAGGCTGTAAGAGCTGGATGGACGGATGGTTTATGTTTGTAACTTGTTCCCCAGCCTGCTTTCCACTGGAGGGACCTGGGATTTCTGAACACCTTCCTGCACAGTTGGCTTGGCCTTGCTGAGTCATTGCTTTTTGGGGAGAGTGTCCCACGGATCTGCTTTTGTTCCAAGCCACTTATGAGCAGTTCCAGAGGTGGAGAGTTGAGATGGACTTTCTGGGAACAAGGGCAGAAAATAGCTCAGTGTTAGCATTCCAAACCCAGCTATTTAGACCTGGATTATTTTTAAATATTTTGCTTTCAGACACATAACTAGCTGCATTTTCTTCCTCTCTCTCTTTTATTTTTTTTTTGAAGTTAGCTTTAATTTTACATCTTTTCCCTGCCCAGCTGTATGCAATCAAGAGTATCTATGCAAAAAAAGGGTTATTCTTTACATTGCTAAATAGTAGGTAGCTAAGTTAACCTGCTGCTTCGGAGATGCCGTTGGCCACAATGGGAACCTGGGGACTTCTTGAGCCTGGTCGTATGTTTGCAGGGTGGTTTTTCTGGGCAATTGAATTGGCAGGAGGCAGGGTAGCAGTGAGTGGAAAGTGCTGCAGCCACCTCATTTCACCCGGCTATCATTGCACGTCCTCAGCCTGAAACAGCCTCATGTGAGGGGCTGTGCACAGGGTGGGCCCATGTCCTGGCGCTCAGATTCAAAGCCCTTCACTGAGAGTTGTGTGAGGTGGTTATGGTGAAACGCTGCTACTGAATCTGTAGTGTCTTACAGCCACTTCATGGGGAGGATGTGATAACACGTATGGCTTTTGGGGAGCATTGTGTCCTCAGAGCACTGCACAGACCTTAACTCACCCTCCGTGAATGACGGGCCCAGCAGGGGACATACATCACCTTCAGACTGCAGCTGTGTGGCCTGGGGGTGCCCCAGCTGCTAGCCATTAGCCCCTTTTTGGATGTTACAGACCCTCACAGCTGATGGCTCATCCCAGCATGGTGAGCTGGGTTCAGAAAGACCTGCTGCTCAAAGTGGTTTCAGTAACCCGTGCTCATTGTTGGAGTCCAGACTGGTTTAGATAAAATTAAGCTCTTGGGCACCAAGGCCGTCTCTTGGAGGAAGGAAGGAGCAGATCGTCTCTTGCCTTGAAAATCACATCTAGTTGGTAAAGTTGATACAGCCTGCTGTGTAAATAAATTTTTAAAAAATTGCAAAACCTGAAACATTGGGACTGCCTTCTACAGGGATTAGCAAGGCAGGTGGAGGGACTCAGATGAAACACATGAGGGAGTTTCTCACACTGGGACGCGTTCATGGCATCCCCCTGTGTGGTGTCTCACAGGCTGAGCTCCAAGAGGCCCCTGAAGGTTCCCCGTTAAATTGGGGTGTTTGGGTCAGTGCAAGCACCAGAGTGGTACTGGGAGCAGGAAGGGCAGGGCAGGATGATCTAGGCTGTAATCAGCCCATTTCCCACCTAGTGCCACACAAGTCACCTTCCATGCTGGTCCTGCCCTCCTGAACTGCACTGTGACTGGGCAACTTTTACCCGTTTGCTTTCCCAGTAGCCTAAAAGAGATGGGAAGACTTGGAGGCTCTTTTCAGGAAATGTGTACCATCCTAAAGGGTTTTTCTTACCGCAGTAACTGTCCCCCGGAGAAGCAGCAGACCTTGTGGTCCATAATCCCCACCCAAAATGTGGGCTAACGCTTCTTACTGCTAGCAGGAGCCCTGCCTCTGGCTGCACATGAGGAGCGAATAAAGCGTGTAACTCAGGAAGGAGACAGTCATAATATCTGTTTGTAATGGGTAAGAAAGAACTGCTTGTTGGATGGGTATAAAAGAAACCTTTAATTCCAGCCAGGATAGTCTAGTGCATTAGCCAAGTGGTGGTAAAGAGCACAGTACCACCAGGCTCTTGTACAGGGATGCAGGGAGGCTTTTGGGGAGACAAATGCTGTTCTTTATCCTCACAGAGCAGCAAGATTTATCTTATTAATCAAACTGCAAGGCTGATCTAAATGCTATTTTAAAGAAAACGAAAATTATTTTATGTGCTGTAATTGGAAATAAGAGCAGGAGTGACACTGGTGTTGTCTTCGCCTGCTGCTCTCTGCAGCCAGTGCAGCTGGTCTTCCTCCATGCAGCTCAGATTAAATGTCGATCCTTGCAGAGATGCTGTAACTGCTGGCACCAGCAGAGTCACATTTATGAAAAAGACTTGAAAAACTTAAAGGAAAAAAAAGTCAATTTTAACCGCTGTGCACTCGATAGACCCAGTAAGTAGCTATTATCCTAGATAGATCCTTGTAGGTGGGAGGGTGTTATGCTGCCTGGATTCACCAAGGAGCAGTGTCCTGCTTCGCTGCAGTTTGCAAATACTGGGAGTCAGCAAATCAGTAATTGTAGCTTCAAACTAGTATAACTTTCTTTTTTTTTCCTGCATAGCCTTCTGGCACTCTATAAAAAGATCTAGCACACTACATAGGATTAGGCAGCTTTGAAGCAGCGGAGTCATCTGGGTGTGAAACTTTGATTTCCTGTGTCTTGAAATGAACTGTTATTTCTATCTTTCCTTTTCAGAAAACCCCCACAGCTCATGCCATGAAGGAGGAGAACTTTCTTCGTCGCAGGTTCTCCCTCTGTCCGGCCTCATCCACCCCTCAGAAGGTCGATCCTCGCAAGCTGACACGCAATCTGTTCTTCGGGGCTGACAATGACATCTACCCGCTCAGCCTAGGTTGGTTTCTGGTGTGTCAGTGCAGAAAGTAGTGTGTCTCGGGTGCTTGACTGCAAGTGGGTGTTCTAGCACGCTGCCAGGAAACAAAGAGAAACAAGTTAATGTGAAGGAGAGAAAGAAACTGTCGCAACACAGGTATTACTGCATCCCAGACAGTGCTGCTTTCGTGATGCTATTGTCTTTCATTGCCATGGTGTTAAGAGGGAATGGAGGGCATCAGCATTGTAGTATGTAACTGTTTTAACACTGCATGGCCTCTGATTTCAAAAATAACTAATGTTTTCAGGCACTTCCACTTTGAGGCACTTGGTGTTTCACCCTAAGCATTGGACTTGTTTAACATTTACTGGCCCCACTTGAAGAGGTTTAATGGCAGATTTCCCTGTTCAGATTTAGAGCCTAGGATAAATATTACAAGAGCAGACTTTCTGTGGTTAATGTTCTGTAAATATCTACAAGCACTGCAAGTACCAGGAATCTTGACAGGTTGCAGTGAATGGCAGACTGGCTTTAGGCATTCTTTTTACTTTTTGCTTTGAATTTCCTAGCACCCTTTTTGAAGGAAATAGAGCTCATTTTATTGTTTCAGAATTTGTTGCTCACAATAAACATTCAAGTCTTTCCTTGATTGCAGTTTGCAGACAATGCTTCTGTTCCAGTCTGTAAACAAGTGCGTCAGGGAACAGTCACAAGCTTGAAGAGCTGTCATTTGCAGCTGCCATGTCAGTGCTAAATAATCAAACCTCACAGCACCTTCGTGAGCTCTCAGAACGCTGATCTCTAGAGAAAGAACATAGCATCTATCCAAAAGTTTCAGTGTTGATATAGATGTAACACCCAACAGACTTTCTGGGCTTTGCAGATGTAGAGCAAAACCAGTTCTGGGTTTCCTGAGCTAATTGTCGTGCAGATATCTCAAGGGCCTCTGATTTCACAGGTATTTCTATTTGTGGGTGTTTGCTTCAAGGCAATGGGGAGCCTATTTTCAGCAGTGCTGACTAATCCTGGCTGTCACCAAGGTAGCTGAAAGCTTTAACAACCTTTTGGTAATCAAATTGAAAACAACTTAAAATGGGACACCTAAAACCTCACACATTTCAAACCTGCAGGGACTACTGAACAGCAAGCTACCCATACGTACGGTCCGTATAAGTGTGTGGTAAGTAAATAGCTGTTTCACTTGTGCTATCTTTGGGTGCTGAAGAGCTGATTTTTCAGGCTGTAGTCACTTCCCCTTGCTTTGAGGAGATGGAGAGACATAGCTTAGAGTTTGCCCATTCTGCAGTTCTTACCAGAGTTTTCACTGCTCCAAAAGTTCCTGACTTCCTCACAGAGGTATTTCAGTGCTGTAATCTTTCAGAAAGCAGGGAAAGTTGAGGGTTTCAGCATGGAGGAGGTAGCTGGAAGAGTTTGTCTCTTCCTCAGCTTCCTTCATTGCCTTGTTTCTCCTTCACGCATGCTGGCAGCCGGACCAAACAGCCTTTGCTGGCCTCGGCAGAACAAGTGCCTTGAGCCATGCTGGAGCTTTTGTTCTGCTTCGCAGTTCTTCCGAGTAACCTCCAGCACTGGCGTCAGCAAGGGCAGTAGCCCTCTGTATTGCAAAGGAAGAGCATAGGCCAAAGAGTTTGTAAAGGAGAGAATATCCCTTTTAAACAAACAGAAGTTACTGCTTCAGCCAGAGGATTTCTTGCAGAGAGTCTGGGTTTTTGTCTGTCCTTACTTACTTTTTTACTCCTTTCATTTCTTTCCTGGTCCCCACAGACCTGCCTTGTCTGTGTTTTCCTCACATTCTCCATGAGAATTAGCTGTCATTTTTCATGTTCAGTTGCCGTTTCCCATGGCAGGCTCTCCTTTCACTCCTTTGCTGCTGCTTCTGCCCCGTTTTCCTCTGAGCCTCGTGTGCTTCCCCTCACCTTCTCCCATCCCTCTGAAGCATGCTGCCATCACCATAGATGAGCCACAGGTCTACGTCCATAAGCTGCATCCAATATTTCTCTGTCCTCCATTTTTCTCTGTTGTTTTACATGTACTTTCAGTTCATGGGGCTTTTCCAGTGGTCCATGTTTTGCTGCCTGACCCCAGCAGGTTTTCTTTACAAGAGCACTGGGCTGATCGTGCTGGATGGGTGCTGTGGGTAGTGCGGGCCATAAAGCCCGGTGATTTCCTGCCAGGAGTTCCCTGGGTTGTGAGGTGGCCGGATCACAGCACCAACACCTAGGATTAGCCCTCCAACAACAAAGGTGTGCAAGTAAATAATTCGGTGAGAAGGGAGAGAAAGACTTTACACCTCAGGCGAGCTACGCTATGGAGATTCAGTTCAGTGAGATGATTTTTTTTAAAGGAAACATAGGGGAAACGCAGAAGGCGCTATCTGAAATAACATTTCAGACTCTTTGCCTCTTACTTGCTTACAAAAATGCTAATGATTATGGTAACTAAAAGAAATTTGAGGAAGGTATTTTCTTACTATAAGAAGTTCACAAGCTAGAGACACATGAATTCACGTTCCTTGCCCATGTCTGTCTTTCACTTAGCAATAAGGAGAGAATCTTCCTCTATTTTCTCTTTCAGAGGGTAGGAAATTTACTGGGGGAGTAGCTAAAAGAACTTTTAGAAAATCTCTCTTTTTGACTAGGCTGTGAGATCACACTGTCTTTAAATAAAAATTTAGATTAGCTTATCTGCATCCTAAGAGATGCACTTTCATGAATATGGGAATTTTACTGTGATAGATACACAGAACTACATTTCAGTCTCGTGTACACATTGGGCCACGTGGCTGATATTTACAACAGTAATGAGTTTTATTTGTGATAGTTTTGCCACACATCAGAGCCTGTATTTCCTCTTGTTAGCTATCCAGATACTTTATCAGAAACCCTATAAAATTGTAATTCACGCTGTGTGGAGCTAATCATGAATTCCTCAATAATTTTGCTTCCTGTTACCATTGATAAGTCATGCTTGCCGTATCATTCTTTATAAAGGGGAAAGGCAAATGCACCTCTAGGATTGATGCCCGGCAGAAAACCGAAGAAAAGGAATAGTTACTGTTCTGGAAAGGAACCAAATATTTATTTTTCCTGTGCATGACAGTAATGGCATAAAAGAAGGTATCAGTAATTCTACTCTATAACTGCAAGACTGAAGTGTGGGCAGTTTGCTTCATGATGTGTGAAGGCCGTTTCCATATGGACCACTGATTCCCTTCACAAAATCTTCTTCGATATTTGGTTCAAAACTTTTGGGCTACTTTGTGGAGGACTCTTCTTTGCATGCCCTGCTAGCAGCCAGTACTTTAAGTGAGGAGATACTCAGCTCTGTTTCTGTTGTGGGCATTATGTTTTCTTGATCAAGGAGATAAGAACTTCAGCTTCTATAGCCAGTTAATATTTAGCTTCTTTTATGTTTTTATGTGGTTTCCTAGTTATTTTCTCAAGGTAGCTATGTCTGTTGTGCTCTGGGTGCAACGCTTGCTTTTTGGCTTTCTATGCACTTAACTATGTGTGTGGGTTTTTGAGAAACTTGCCCGTTGTTTCAGTGAAGTTTGCTTTCCAGACAAGGGCTGCCTCTCTCCCTCTGCCCAGCTGCAGCCAGTCTGCTTGAGAGCAAAGATAGCTCTCCTCCAAAACCAGCCTTTCCCTCACAAGTGCTGATTACGCTTAATGAGTTTGGCATGAGAAACCAGTATATGCTGCTCCATAAACATATCGTACAAATTCTTGTGAATGATATAGTAAGAGTGAACATTTGCATGTTCCCATTTTTCATAATACTCTGTAAGCAGGATGGTCCAGAACTCAAGAACAGAGAAAATCTCATTATTCAGGTGCAAAAGCTTTTAACTGTATTACTGAGAGAAGGCAGAAATATCTGACGTCCAGACTTTTTGTATGGATACCAGCTTGGAGTTAAGCTTTCTTTGAGAAATGAGTCATAATAAAGAATGGATGTGAATTCTGTTGTGCTAATAGACGTGATTCCCTCAGAGCAGGCAGCAGCTGATTCCCATTAACTTTACTTGAACTTTTAGACCATATGCTACTTTCTCATACATGCACAGAAAGAACTATTCATGGGAAATAAGTGCAGCAGCTATGTGGCTTTGTGAGTTTATTCCAACCTCCTCTGCCTCTGTTGGGGAGAGTGGGGGCTATAGAGAGGAACGCACCACCAGAGAAAGAAAAAGTATGGAGATGCAGGTCCTAATCTGTGCACAGCAGTGCTTGTGGCCATCCCACTTGGCATGGTGGCCCAAGGGAACTGTCAGAAATCTAGTCACTTGGGATTTTCTGCTGCCTGCAGACATTAGGTTTCTGAGTGTGTTATTTAGGGCTCAGTGTTTCATGGGGAGGAGTGACAGGTAAGGAACTAGGTTAAGATACAGGTTCCCTGTTGTTGCACTGCCTTCCTGTGTGACTGTGTAGGTCCTTCCTCCGCGTGAGTTCCCCACGTGAGCAACGCACGTGCTCTCCCTGTTCTCCCAGGCTTGGGAGTGTTGGCTTTCTGCATCAGCACGGCTGTGTGCACGTGGCGCGGCACGGCACTATGCCATAGGGTGAGAAACACGTCTGAAACCCCCACTACCCTTAGTCACCAAGTGGGAAGTTGGACACCTTCTAGGGATGGTTGTCCCACAAAGACTTTTCTTAAATTTAAGAGCTGATACACCAAACTGCCTGTTAATGCCTGTAAAAGGAGCGTGGGTTTTGACCTGTCTCTTTACCAGTGAAACCCTGTAGCGCAGTTGCAGATCTGGTTATAATGGGATGTGCTTGTCCTCTCACATGTCCCACGATGGAAGTGCAGAACATGTCCATGACAATATTTATTTTTTAGTAAGCTTCTGTGGCTGGCTTTTCTAATGGTGCTTGGCTTCTTAAATGGCTGCTCGGAAAACTCCAGGAGACATTGTGGCTTCTGACACACCTGTGACAACTTCTGCTGACTTCAGGAGAATAAGGATTTTCCCTTTCTGGTTTTGGATCTGGTGGTGTTCCCAAGATGGCCCACACAATGTTTAAAAATATTTTTAACAGTTCCCATGTTTGCAGTGTGCTACAAATGGATTACATTTCATTGTCTCGGTGGTTCTTACTGCATCCAGTATTCTGAAGCTCTGATTGCTAACAATTTTGAGAAGAAAACTACATTGCAATTGGGTAACAATGACTGTCTTGGCACTAAAAAGCTAGTCTCATCAGATGCTCTTTCTTGGCTTTTTTAAAATAGAAGCTCTATGCTTTCTTTTACTGTAAGGATATGATTACAGTTGGCAAAAAGAACAGAATTTATCGTTACATTTTATTGCTTGGACTAGGACTGCACACACTCATACTAGTATATAATGTGTATAATGTCCTGCAAGTTTAGCATATTTGGGTAGTGGAAATATATCTCTACAATGATTGGAAAATGTCATAGTGTTCATAAATACTACTTTTTAATTGAAAATGTTTCTTATTTTAATAAATAACCTTGTCAGAAGACATTGATCTTCTGCAGGTTTTTTTTTTATTGTGTTTTACTAATTACGTCTAGATGCTGTTCTGTCTTCTGTAATGGTTTGTGATCATGGCTATTATTCGTCAAAGTGTGCTATCAAGTGCATCTGTGTATAGTTGCCAGATACTGACCAAGGAGGATAATGTATTGAATAGCTGCTTATTAGCTAAACTCCGTTTATTATTTGCATTGAATGAGGCATGGGGTATGTAAGAAAAGAACAGACTGTGGTAATGTAATTAAAGACTGTATCATAATGCAGACACAGAAGGGAGATGATTAAGAATGCATAAGCGACCTTATTTCTGTGGGTTTTTCCAGCCTTCATATGCTGGGCTTTGCAACCATCATGTTGATTTACCATGGCGTTTTGAGACCTAACTGTTAAGCAGCACTTGTTGCATAGCCCAAGTGTGTAGATCCAGGCTGTTTCAAGCTCTGCAAGATCCCTCTCTCTGATCTTGGTGTGCCTGCTCCTGCTCATGACAGTTTCTCTTGCTTGCTGTTAGCAGTAGCCCTTCTAAGGCCGTGAGTAGCCACAGTTTTGCATAGAATTTCTCTGTTTCTGAATTGCATTTATTTGTTGCAGGAAAAGATGTGGAAGGAAACAGCCCGTCAGCACTGAAGGATGAGACACCACAGACTCCAAACTCCATTAGTAAGGTACTGTGGGATAAGGATCCATCCCTAGTCTTGCTTTCATTTCTTTTCAAGCTGTTATTCATCATTCTTATTCTCTTTTTTTAAAAAAAGTCATTGAGGGAGCCGTTCCCTCTGTTCCTGCAGGAACTGCGTGTGCATATTTTGAAAGAAAAAAAAATGAGTGGTTTTGCATGGTTGGGGTGACAGAGAAGTCCACACTTTCCTCTCACCTGATAGCACCTACTGCAGAAAAACCCTGTTTATTTGGACCTCATTTGGCAGTGTAATTAGATATGAATAATTACAGTTGAAAGGTTGATTTGTCAGCAGAGGTGTCTCCTGCTGTTCCTGATCAGCAAAGCAATCAAAAAACCTTAATTGTTTTGGAAGAGAAAGCTGTAATATTTAGTGTAGTGCATAACATCCGAAACTGTGAGTCGAGATCCTGGGAGAGAGCTCTAGGAATTGGTGTAACAGGAGAGGAACGCAAACTAACCAACTTTTCCTGAACACAACATTTCCATCCAGGCTGTTTTGGAGAGGTAAAACTGGATCTAAAGACTCTGGATCCGGGTTTTTGAAGCCTGGGTCTACATCTAGAGTTATGGAGTGCTTGGGTTTGATTTCCTGTAGAGATGGAATCAGCCTTATAAATTGAATCTGGCTTTGAGATTTACGTATGGGCTTTTTTGGCTGTGGCTCCCTAATATGTTTCTGGAGGGTAACTAGAAATAGAAGCAAGGCCAGTTAATAAATTTTTAACTAAATTTGTTCAACTATGAAGCTCTAAAATACAAATGACACCAGCTGAAATGAAACCACAACACGAAGGAAGCAGTTGCAGACAAGTGGGAGTTTTTAATACAGGAAATTAAGCTCTGCATCTTCACATACGTTTGACTGTGCTTGCCTGGAGCTTGCAGGTTGTTCTGACAGGATGCCGTGGCAGAGGTCAGCACAGGGAGATGATGATGAGAGGAGCTTTGAGAGTATGCAGCAAGGGCTTGTGTACATGTCTTCTGCTATTGCTGGAACCTGGCAAATGCAGACGGACCTTGGTTTTGCTTTTTCCTCACGGAAACCCAGCCTCCCACTTATCCTGGCGGGTAAACTGTGTCCAGGGCTTTGTTTTAAACCAGATGTTTTGCACACCGTATAAGGAGTGGTGTTAAATTCCCAATGACTTAGGAATGTAAAGAGGAGGACTTTTTCTGGACAAGACATCTCAGACCACTGAAATGCTGTCCTAAAGGCAGATTGATTCCTGAGATGCAGCATGAATGCAAGAGTAGGAATGTAACTGTGAGAGGTATCTGGGCAAGAGCACGGCTCAGATGTAATTTTCCAACCTCAGGGCCTGCCTTGCTATTTAGTCTCCTACACATGTGTTTTTGAAAGGAGAAGCACCCTTGGAAGATTTGAGTGCCCACCTAGATTTCTGCCATGCTTTGTGTGCACCTGGGAGGCGTTGGTGGGTCTCTCTGTGACAGTGTCAAGAGCAGTTGTTAAGGAGAGATGAGAGAAAATGCACAGCACAAAACAACTGCATCAGATTTGTGATTCAGAACAAATGAGGTCTGAACCTGGACACGAGCTTTACTTTCACCAGCCCAAGACTTTGGTTTTACAGTAGTCAAAATTGCTCTGAAACACCAGTGGACTAAAACCAGATGTGAGGACCCCGAAACACCAACCTTCAACTTGCCTACTTGTTTGCAGTGTTGCAGGCAGTTGTTTTGGCTACTGAATGGGCCAGAGCTAGTTTGTTCTTTCCTGCCTGTATGTTCTGCTTAGACACATGATGTTTGATTCAGAGACTTTCCACCTCACTGGACCTGTGCTGTAGCGCCTGTCATTCTCACTTGGCTCAGCTTCGCCTTGCTGTGTTGTACACTGCCTTGTTCTCCAGCCACATAACTTTTCTTCTGTCTTGCTTTGCAGTATCAGCAATAGTAGGGAGCCCCTATTGTGAAATGTCTTATACCTTAAAAATTTAGGCAAACTGGTAGTCACTTTGCCTAACATTTCATTTTTCGCATCCACTCAGCTCTAAGGCTATAGAATGAAACCTTACTGTTGGTGTTCAGAACTGTAAACAGGGATCTGCCACAGTATTTCAGTTTAAAAATAAATAGCAATTCACCCTACTTGAACCAAAGGGAAGAGTGTGTGCTAACTGGGTCGTGTTTAGATTCCTGATAGCTGGGGGGGAATATTTTTTAGAAACCAAACTGTAGGATGTGCAGGTTTAATTAATGGATTCAAAAGTAAATGTTCTAGGTAACAGATCCTAGAATACTTACCCTTCTTTTGGCATAGTGGATGCAACAAACCTTACTGGAAATCAGTGTTCCTTGAGCAGTGCTATTTTGATGTCCTCTTTTCATCCAGGAGGAAAGGAAAGCCAGTCGAGTGATTCAGTCCCTGGACTGGGGCTTAGGGGACCTTGAATTCCCAGCTCTGACTTAGAGTTTGTACACTTCCCCAGGAAGATTAATTGCGGTTTTGTTTCACATCTTCATCAGAGTTGGAAATGGTTCTACATTTCGTTCACTCAGGCCATGTCCACACTGCATGATGGAGCAGGCTGCAGGTTTCCCAGGTTAGCAGACACCGAGCAGAACATCTCATCGAGACCCTGTGAACATCTGTGAACTTGTGAGCTGTGAAGCCATTTAACTGCAGCCACCCTGCCCTGGGCTCGTAGATGGACTGCTAGCCTATGTCGGAGGTGTGGACACATCCCTGTTGTCCTTTCCATACAGACAGTAAAATATTTGATGTTGGAACATTGACTTTCAGTGTTTGGTAGTACTTACCAGTATATATTTCTGGTTTCAGTTGTGGCTTCTGACCCCTTGTTTTATTAAAACAAATTTGAGGCATAGTTCAGCTACGTATTACATTGCTAACTTTCCAAAAGCGTATTTTCTCTTATTTCATTTTTTAAGTGGAATCTCTTTCATCTCCTTTTTCAAGGTGAAAAAAAAATACCAGCGTATTTATCTTACATTGTTTCTCATATTAGTTTCTTTCTTTTTAGAGCCCTTTAGCCTTGTTTTCTGGGACCAGTGCTCGTAGTGGGATGTGAAAGTATCACAGAACTGTTTGTCTCTAAGCCTCAAGCTCGTGTCTGCAGCCAGGTAGTACAGTTAGCACACACCCGATAGTGGCAGGAGATGCCTTTCTCTCATTTTGTGCCTCATTTGGCACTGTTAGCAACCTTTAAGGCACCTTTTATTGCAGTATGCAGTGTTGCATTCTCTCTTCCTTTCCTTCCTGTAGCTTACGTGTTAATTCTACTGGCTGGTGAGCAGCTGGAGTCTCTTGATATGGATGCAAAGCCCACAGAGAATTGAAGTCTATTCTAAGGGACAGTCAGAAAAGTCTTGAAGGTGGGGCTCAGTGGTACTTCACTCTTTTCAGTCCCCCACTAATGCCACAATGAAGTCTAAAATTATCACATTGTAGGAGTGTGACTGTTGCGTGTGCAGTTATATGACATATGGGAGGGCAAAGCTTAGACTGCTTTGTTCATCGTGAACGAGTTTTTCCACATGCCTGAGTTGTTCAAGTCTTCATTGATTTGTAATCTGAAATACGAATCTAGGGGGCTGCTATAAATTTATTTTAGCTGCAAAGTAGTTTGAAACAGCTCGTACTGATCACTTGAGACTTAGGCTACAACTCCCATGTTGTATCAAGCTCATCCTTCTAGACCCATGAATCATGCTCTTAACCTCTGAGTTAGTTCCAGCCGTGGTTACATTTGGGACTATAGAATCATAGAATGGCTTAGGTTGGAAGGGACCCAACCCTTCATAGAAAGGTACCCAACCCTATCATAAAAGATCCTTCACAACTCTGGCAACCTACAAGGGTACCTTTCCCTCTGTTCTCCCTTAGCTAGCAAACGGAGGAATGAGTTGTCAGATCCAGATGTTGCAGGAATCACCTCAGAGAGGCTCAGGAGCGAAACATCCCCTGTGTGCGCTCAGCAAAGCTTTATAGGAGAACCTGGCCCTTCCAGGTGGTGTTAGGCTTTGCTGGACCCTTGCTGGCTTTTCTTTACCGTACTTTATTCTGCTGATGTTGTGGATGGAATTATTTTGGAGCTAGTTGTCTCTGTCAAGACTCAGACTCAGTTTTTGTTGCCTGGCTCAGATACACCTTGCTTCTGGATTCCACGTGCAGCATTTTATGGTAATCACTGTTGTCCACAGCGGGCTTTGCAGTTGATTTCAAGTGAGCAGAGATGTAACATCTTTCTCAGTGTGCAACTTCCCATCTCACCTAAAATGTGCTTTAAATATTCTAAACTTGCAGAATGTTCTTCCCATGAAAGGTACGCTTAAATGATTAAATAGAAGTCCCATGAGGTCTTTATTTACTATAATCTGTCACAATGGAGCAAAGCATTCCACTGAACAGCAGTGTAACCTGATATTTGGAGTTGCTTGGATAGCTGAATTTCACCAGTGATTTTCCCCAGCTATTGCTGTCATGTCAGCTATTTATTTGTACATGCCTTTCAATATGTGCTAATCGTTGTGTTGTAAACGTAGTTGCCGTGTCTTTGTAACATCGTTGAAATAAAAGGGATTTTTTTTATTTTTTATTTTTTCAAACTAGAAGTTTTAGGTAAAGATTATTCAACTTACTGTAAAGCAGCATATTAATTGAAGGGTAATCTTTCCTAGTGCAAAGCTTGTTTGTCAGTAAGAATCATTTCGCTGACTCTGCTGTGCTTTGGATGAGCTGTTAATTCACAACAAAATAAAAAAAAATTTTAAAAGAACTGCTTATAGTGGAAAACAAAATTGTTTAAATGTGGTTGAGATATCTGTGAATGTTCACATCAGTAACAAGAAGCTCTTCACTTCTAATGTTAAACCGAGCTTTTCCATAATGTTGATACTACTTCAGGAACTTTTGTTCCATTTGTTTTATTTCTGCAGTGATACAGATCTGTAGCAATTATACATGGAAAAGATACTGGAGAAATTCCCTGTGAGCAAGGACGTGTCTCCCATGTGATGACTATTTTTGCTTTTGTGAAATGCAGCTTATGACCCCAGCTACTTTTGTTCTGCCTTCAAATTCCCATCTGATTTCATCTTTCTCTCACTTGGATGCAAAGAAGAAAAAAGAGCAACTTGTAAGCTGTCACAGCTGTTAAGATGCAGACCACAGCTTGAGAATGACTTTATTTAAATGTTTCTGATTTGGAATAATTCTGTCTGTTTCTCATTACACATTTTTTGTGTTCATCCCGTGCAGCAAGGATTGCTTGCGCTAAAGAACGGGATATTGCTCTTGCTGTTATCCAAGGCACGGCATGCTGATGAGCTGGCATCCCCCACACCACAGTCGACCACAGACTGTTTTTCTCTGAAATTATTTGGTTCCTCTTGGAAATGAAGTCACCAAAAAGACACTGGATGAGAATAGCACTATTGTGAGGACTCTCTATGCTCTCTTACAAAGCCTAGCAGAAGTGTATTGTGATAACTGCTAACAATCAGCAGTGGATCTCCAGAGCTACATGACTGAGATGAAAGGGAACAGAAACTTAACTGGGATAAAAAGTATGTCTCTGACTACAGTACAGCCTGTTGTCAGCCAGCAAGGTCATCATTCAGTCCTGGAAAGGACAGACCTGCTTAGACAACTAAAGAGAGACAACAGTTTCCTACCTCTGCAAGTGCTGCTGCATGCCCTGGTAAAATTTTTTGGCGGATTAACAGTCCTACAGTTATGAGAACCAGTGTATGGAAAACATACCTATTGCTTTGAGTCTGCGTGGGCGGCGCGGGGAGGGGGGGGTGTAATTTTAAAAAAAGGACACCGATTCCCTTCCCTCCCATTGTACAAAGTCTCATCTCTGGTTAATATTGTTCACATGTTGCTGCAGAGAGAGAGGGCGAGATTCTGATACCCTGCACAAGCATTATCCCGGTGTCCTTGAAAGATTTGCTTTGATGACAAATGGCTTCTCTTCATTTTCTGCCAGGCTGATGAGAATAGGCCAGGGCAATAGAAGGACATCATTAAATGCTCTTGATGTGTCTTAGCCATGTAAGGCCCGGTTGTGTCTTAGGGACCTTTAGAGCTGACGGCCTGGATTTACGGAATCTTACATATGCCACGAGGTACAATCAAAACTGTTAAGGCTGGTTCATGTGAAAACATGAAATCTTATTACTTCAAGTCACTTAGGAGTTTAAATCTGGAGGAACTGTACCTTGCTGTCAGCAGCATGGGGGCCTATGGTATGCAGTCCTGGGGCCTTAGTTCCCACCTTCCCTGTGAAAAGGCAGGAACTTGAAACCCAGAAATGCAATACTTTTAACTCTGTAGACCTGGAGATCACTTGCAAGCAAACTGCTGTTTAGGATCTATGATGATGCATCCTCATAAGCGTAAGAAGAAGTGAAGGGCAGGGAGAAGCAATCAGTTTGCCTCCTTGGAGAAGTAACTGAGGAACAGCATCAAGTGTCTGAAAACAGGAGTCCCAGGTCAGGCACATCTGAAAGCTTGTCCATGGCTCCTAGTTAAAACCATGGCTTGATTTCAGTAAAATTTTCTCTCTCTTCATAAAGCTTGGTTATTTTATAACCATCTCAGGGAGCTGCACTGTTCATCACACAAGTTTCACTCGCTATAGTTATTGAGCTTCTAAGGGCGATGGTGGTGTGAGGGGAGATTATCCTTTCATCTGCTGTTGGGTGCTGCAGCTTTGTAACACAGATAGCCGTACCAGCTGGCGTGGGGCATGTGGTGTCCTTGGTCATGGAGCTACGAGTCAGCTCTCCTGAAGAGGCAGAATCAATGTCTCTCTGTGTAAATGTCCCAGGTTTTAAGTCTTGTGGATTTTTAACTCTATTTTTGGCATGACCCAGAGAGACTCTGAGGAGGCAGATGTGACTGGTAGAGCAGTGAAAGTTGCCCCTCTCTGTGTTAATGCTGGTTCTCCATGAGCAGAGGGTTTAGGGCTCAGGTTTGCGTGGTTTGCAGTAGTTGTTCAAAGCCTTTCTGAATTCATCTTCAATTTGCTCAAGCCAAGTGAGCTTAGGGGCCAAAGTTTTATTCTTTATATAAGTGCTATATAAATTGTCTAGACAACAAGTGGCTGTAGCTTATTTTAATTAAGGTCATAGAATCACAGAATGGTTTGGGTTGTGAGGGACCTTAAAGACCACCCAGTTCCAACTCCCCTGCCGTGGGCAGGGACACCTCCCACCAGACCAGGTTGCTCCCAGCCCCGTCCAACCTGACCTTGAACACTGCCAGGGAGGGGGCAGCCACAGGTGCACTGGACAACCCCATCCAGTGTCTCACCACCCTCACAGAAAAGAACTACTTCCTAACATCTAATCTAAATCTACCCTGTTTCAGTTTGAAAACATTACCCCTCATCCTATCACTACACTAGGAATAATTAGTTAAGCAAAAAGCATGCATTATATCCTGATGCTTTGCAGACACCTGAGCAGGATTTCCTAGAATCAATGGGACATCTGTGTTTTTTCTGCTTCTCATGCTGGCTAATGAGGAATAGTACGCCGTGTTTCTCTCTGTGTCTGATCTCTCAGGCTGGAGGGAGTGAAATCGCCAACAAACAGGTGGCTCATAGTTGTATCTCAAGGACAGGACATTCTCTGTGCTAATTGGGATAAAGGGGGAGAATTCTTCTGACCAGTTTCAGAGGACACACTTCTCAAATCATGAAAGCATAGTCTCCTAATAATTCTGAAGGATTCTCGCTCAGAGACATTTAAGCACTTAGAAGTGTTTCCTCATAAAGAAAATCTTGTAGCATATCTCCCAAATGTCTGCCACTGCCCTTTGAAATGTGACAAAGACCCTGTGGGTACAATTCTCTGCTCAGACGTTGTAGCTGTGCAGTGGTCCCCACCGTATGTGAAGTCCCATGCACAGAAATACAAAATATGCATCAGAGACTGCATTGCAGGTGCAGGAGGCAGGCTTATCTTTCTGTTAAAACAAAAATGATCAATTTTGGACAGTTTGCAGGAGTCCAAGAGCTGGCATTTGCTTTGAGTGGATCCAATGCCACTTGACTTGTAAGCTGGACAGTCAGACCAGGGACTTCACTGATCTTCACACGCCTTCATAGAGTTTTCATTTCTGTATTTATTCTGAAGTATTATGTGTAGTTTTGTTTTTAGTGAAAAGACTGCCTTAAGGGTATGTGAGAACAAGTAATAGGTGCTGCAGTGACCCTGGCTCTGTTGCACATTGCACCTTCTGCCCCTAATTTCTAACCCTGCATCATCCACAAAGAGTTTTGCTCAGCTGAGCATGTACCCTTATCTCCCACTTTTGCTCCTGCCACAGTCTCCAAAGTATAGTTGATGGCCTGTTTGCTGTGATCTGGTCATGCCTTTGCATGTTTTTATCTAAGTCATGTGAAAAGGACTGGTCCAGGTGTCATTAAATATTTTCCTGCTCACACTAACCTTCACCATAGTTGGTGGCTGTAGTAGCTGGAAAGGTTTCTGTGTCACTGGGAGGGAAAAAGAAAGTGGGCCTCAAAACTGAAGGTGCTGTGAAATGATTACATCAACTCATGCCGTAAAGGAGAGAGAGTCTGAGAGCCCAGTGGCTTTGTTTCACATGACAGTAGTGATGGGAACTATCTTTGATGCATTTTTTTTCCTTAGTAAAGCTCATTTATGTATCATACTTATTAAATCAAGATGGCTGAGGGCTGAGCCTTTTTATTAAACTGTCATGTGTAAGTAGGAGAGACAGTGCCTGACCCCAGAAGATCTCAGTCTGAGTGCATCAGACACATGAAAGGTTGGAAGGAAAAGAGGTAGAGAGAGAGAAAGTAACTTCCCCAAGGTCACATAAAAAGTAGCAGAGTCCAGGCTGTACCATAATTCTCATGCCACTAACCCTGGCCAAGTTTTGGACAATTTGCTGACAGTACCTGTCCAGGGGTCCTTGTTGTGAGTTGGGCTCCAGAGAGCTATACTCTCTAAGCATACATTATTTTAAGACCAGCGATATTGTGACCATATCTGACAAAAGTAAAGCATTTTTTCAGCCCATCAGCACAATCATAAGATCAGTCTGTAGCCTCTGAAAATTAGTTTAAACAGCACTGACACTATCAAACATGATTTGAAGTGACTGTATATTTTGTGCCTCGCTTCACAAGGCCAAGATGATGATGGTTTCCTGTATTATCTGTAACATGATTAGGTCATTTCTTGCCCACTCATGTTTCTGGACATTTCAGCTAAGGCAACAGTCATTGCCAATATCAAGTCTAGTTCTGAAAGATCTATACCAGCTTCCCCGTAATTTTTACTCCAGTAATTGAAATGCTTCATAACTGAGAAGAGATGGGCAGTTTTCAAAGTTACAAGTAGAATAGGGGGTTTGTTTGGGGTTTGGGTTTTTTTATTTTATTTTAACAAGATTAACATCTGCATGGGAGAAATATGAAGAAAACTGGCTGGGGAATTTTTCAACTAACTGAGTATAAAAAAAGTTTGGACTGCACTGCAAATATGAGTTTTCTGTGCCTGCCTGGTGTTCTGCTGCTGAAATCTGCCATCAGCTCTTTCATGGATTCCTGGAAGATATAAACGACTCTTCATTAGAGCATGACTTGAACATCTTCATGTTAACACATTCTTATTTTCTCTCTCCTTCTTTTTTTAGATCGAATATAAGCTTTGCAATGGGTCTGACAAAGAGTGTGTGTCTCCCACAGCCAAATTCACAAAGAAGGAAACACTGAAGGTATGTGCAAAGCAGCCAAGTCAGCATCAGCTGACTTTCTTTTACAAAACAAGTAGTACCTTCCAAACAAACCATTGGGAACTGCTCTGAGTCATTTCCCAAGACCCTGAGAAGCCTCTGACTCTTCTAGGAGTCATTATAGCCCAAGGGCATTTACAGGCTTTATGTACAGGATTAGATTATATACTGCAAACAGAACAAATCAGTGTTGTTACTTCACTCTGTTCATATATTCCAGAGCCGTTAGGCACCTCAAGAGGATTGTAATCCTTCATTGGTCTTGTTAGGAGGGGCATGTCTAGGCAGTCTGAGCAAATTACTGCTTGAACGCTTGCTCGTCTACCAAACCAAAAGTATAAATAATTTGGTTTGGATGAAATTAGAGTTAATTTCTTTAATTTGAGGGGTGGGGAGGACTGATTATTCAGCCTCTTTCCATTCCCCCCAAAGAAAAGCCAAGTTAGATTATGTTTAGTGGAACTTTAGGAGCAAAGAAAATGCCTGCTTTCTCGTTATGTTTTTGTTCTTTCTTGTGCTCGTTTCTGGGGAACCTGTGCTGGGTCAGGTTCTAGCTGTGCTATACATAGCTGTCCTTAATGCATTGTGTTCTGTCCTCCCCAAAAGAGGCCATGATTACAGCTGCTATATTTTCTCTGTTCTCAACCAGGTACAAAAAAAAAATTACAGACAGGAGAAGAAAAGAGCTACCAAACAACTCTTCAGTGCTCTAAAGGATCCCAGTGTAGTGATCACAGCAGACTGGCTGAAGGTATTTAATACAGACTGTTGCTTCTGAGGCTGTAGGAGAAAATAAATGAGAAGTCGTTGATGTGTCTGAGACTTATGCACTAGCGCTTTTTGAGTGAAGGAGTAATTTTGAGTTGAAGTTGCTGTAAAGCCATACTTAAATAGCTGCTATAAAAGTGGAGTTATGGGGAGTATTTAATTTCCATCTTAACGTAACTCAATCTGTTTATTCTGTATCCTTAATTAGTACAAAAGGAAGTGATGAAGTTTCTTTCTTTCTTCTTCTCTGAAAGAATCTGCTGTCCTCTTCCCGTAGCTGTGTTTTTGTACTGAAGAGGAATAGGAGTATCAGCCTGGAAGTGGGCAGATAACAGCTTGTTCTGTTGACAGTTGGATTTTATGTTATCACAGCACAGAACAAAACATATTGGACCTGATGTCAACTATAATTTCTCCTTGTGCAAAGACTTGACTAGTGACAGTTTCTCTTTGAAGTCCTGAAACTTTGTACGTGGCAAAATAAAATTGGATTGACATTGAGAGATGTTACCTTTGAGCACCGTTTTTCTCCTTGTTTGGGTCCATTTAGTCTTCTTGACTAATAGTGAATTGGTGGCCTCTTTCATAATGGCAAAACTTAATTTACAAGCATTGCCAGACACATAGCTCTTTACTTAGGGATTTCATGAGACAATGCAATTGCCTTTGACCAATGTGAAAAACCTCCAACATTGTTCTACGGCCAGTGGAGAGATGAGGAAAGTGAGAGGCATATGGTTTATTTGAGAAATTAGATTGGCAACAAAATGTTTCTATAGTGTGTAGAGTTGATAGATAAATATTGACTTTTTGTTTTAAATGCAAAATACCTGCTGTATGTTTGCTGTGGCTGGAAATTTCTGGT